TTCAAGGGTCTAGGCCCGAAACGTCAGCTTTCCTGCTCCTCTGATGCTGCTTGGCCTGCTGTGTTCATCCAGCTCTACACCTTGTTGTCTCAGATTCTCCAGCATCTGCCGTTCCTACTATCTCTGAAGCCATATTTGTAAAGTTCTTTTTACAAATGTACCAAGAGGTCAATTAAACTTCTAAATTGTTCTATAGAGTTTTTCCTTCAAAAGTTATTTTCAGCTATTTAGAACTGGGTGTTTACAGATTGTGGATTAAATAGTCTTGATTAACGATGTGTATTTTTATGTTTTCAGCTGTTTTAATAAACTGCGTCAGGTTGCCATTTGTAAATATGTCAAATTGTTTTTGATGCAAATCTTTTTAAAAATTGTGTACTAAAATGCAGCCCAATTGCACTGAGTCATGGAAGATTTTACATCTGTGGTCTATAACTGAGTTTCAATGGAATTGGAGCAAAAAAGACATTTTTTAAAACTAATCCTGGATCACCAATTGCACCTAAAGCTTAAACTCTCAGTCCGTGAATTTGTATTCAATGTTCTTTTAACTGAGGCTTTTTTTATTCCAAGATAAATTGTGCTCGAGAGAAGGATATTAATGTTAGGTCTCAACCACCTTGGGCAGGATTTTAAATCTTGAGTCCTTAAGTTAAAATGCAGGTCAGGAAAACAAATGTCAGTGAGGGAGTTTTTCATTCAGCCACTAGTTATCTACTTGCCGTTTTATTCCATGGGCTTCAAGTGGGCTGACAAGTATAGTATTTTGATTTTTATCAAATGCTTTTTCGAAGTCCTTATACACATCCATTACATTGCCCTCATCAACTTTGCTATCTCTTTAACAAATCTGTGCTGCCTTAATAATTATTAAGGGAAGACTCATTCACCACTAATTCTGGATTTATTCTTAAGCCCTTTCTTGAGCCTACCAGTAACATTTACATTCCTCCAATTGTCTGGAATCATCCCTGTATCTAAGGAGGATTGGAAGTAGCAAGTATCCCTATAATTTCCACCTTTATCTCTCTTGACATCCTCGAATGCAACCTAGACCTGGTGACTTATCAACTTTAACTGTAACAAATATTTCTCGTACCTCAACTTTCTCAAATTTTAGTATGTCTGGTATTTCACCTACCTCCTCTATCTCTTTGACTTTGGAAGTATTCTATTTCTTGGTAAAGACAGATTCAAAATAATAATTTTGTACCTCAACCATGTCCTCTTCCTTCATGCATAGTTCTCCTTAGTAGTCCCTCAATGGCTTCACACTTCTTCTGATCGCCTTTTTACTATTTAAATGTTAATAGAAGACTTCTGAATGCTCTTTTTTACGTTAGGTAAAGCCTCTTCTCATAGTCTTTTAGCCCCTCTTATATCTTTTACAATCCCACTTTGAATTTCATACATTCACCCTGGTTCTCTCTTGTATTAATTAATCTCATATTCTGTCAAACTTTTTCTGCTTCATCTTACTTCCTATCTTTTTCAGCATCTGGGAAACTGTGACTTTGTTTGCTCTACTACTCCTGCTCCAGGGACTGTACCTCAACTATATCTGTACCATGAACAAAAACAAAGTTGCTGGAAAAGCTCAGCAGGTCTGGCAACATTTGTGAAGGAGAAAACATAGTTAACGTTTTGGATCTGGTGACCCTTCCTCAGAACTGATGGTGGCTGGGAAAACGTCAGTTTATATGCAGAAAACAGGGAGGTGGGTGGGATAGGGAGTAAACGATAGGATAGAGCCTAAAGAGAGAGAATGACAGTTGGACAGACAAAGGAGTTGCTAAAGATCAGGCAGGGAGGGTGAATAGTTGTTAATGGAAACTGTTAGTGACTAACAACAGGGGGTGTGTAATGGCAGGCTGTTTGGTAACAAGGCCTGATGTGTGGGGTATGGGGCTGGGACATGGGAGAGTTTAGGCCCAAAAATTATTGAACTCAATATTGAGTCCAGAGGGCTGTAGGGTCCCCAAGCAGAAAAGGAGATGTTGTTCCTCTAGCTTGCTTTGGGCTTCGCTGGGACACTGCAGCAAACCAGAGACAGAGATCTTGGCCAGGGAGCAGGGTGGTGCGTTGAAGTCGCAGGCAACAGGGAGCTCAGGGTCTGTTTTGCGAGCAGAATGTAGATGTTCTGTGAAGCGGTTGCCGAGTCTACGCTTCGTTTCCCCATTGTAGAGGAGACCACATTGTGAGCAGCAAATGCAGTAGACTAGATTCTGGGAAGTGCAGGTGAAGTGTTGCTTCACCTGGAAGGTATGTTTGGACCCTTGGATACTGGGGAGGGAGGAGGTAAATGCGCAGGTGTTGCTCCTTCGCCGGTTACAGGGGAAGGTGCCATTAGGCTGTGGGGAGGAGTTGGGGGTGAAGGAAGTATGGACCAGGGTGTCCCGGAGGGAACAGTCCCTGCGGAAGGCGGATAAGGGAGGGAAGGGGAATATGTGTTTGGTGGTGGCATCTTGCTGTAGGTGGTGGAAATGGTGTCTGATAATCAAATGTTCTGCTCACAAAAAAGACCCTGAACTACCTGTTGCCTGCCACTTCAATGCACCTCCCTGCTCCCTGGCCAACATTTCTGTCTCTGGCTTGCTGCAGTGTTCCAGCGAAGCCCAACGCAAGCTGGAGGAACAACACCTCATTTTCCGCTTGGGGACCCTACAGCCCTCTGGATTCAATATTGAGTTCAATAATTTTAGGGTCTAGACTCTCCCGTGTCCCAGCCCCCCACCCCACACACCAGGCCTTGTTACCACATAGCCTGCCATAACACACCCCCTGTTGTTAGTCACCAACAGTCCCCATTAACAACTATTTACCCTCCCAGCCTGATCATTAACAACTCCTTTGTCCAACTGTCTTTCTCTCTTTGGGCTCTATCCTATCGTTTACTCCCTACCCCATCCACCTCCCTCCATTCTGCATATAAACTGACGTTTTCCCAGCCACCATCAGTTCTGGGGAAGGGTCACCGGATCCGAAACGTTACGTCTGTTTTCTCCTTCACGAATGCTGCCAAACCTGCTGAGCTTTTCCAGCAACTTTGTTTTTGTTCCTGATTTATAGCATCCGCAGTTCTTTTGGTTTTTATATCTGTACCATCTCTTTTTAAAGACAAATATATCTATAATCTTTGATTCCGATTTACCTAGGAGAGAATCTTTCTCACCCCACTGAAACTGGACTTCCTCTAATTAAAGATTTAAACTCTTCACCACTCCTTGATGTTTTTCATAACTAATCTGAACCTCAAACTGATGATCATTGCTCCCTAAATGGTCTGCTATTGGTGCTTGATCTACTTGACTGCCTTCATTCCAAGAATCAGGTCCAGGAATATGTCAGGACATCCATACGTCTCTTCCTTTGAGGTTCTGCTTAATAATCTGTTTCCTAGCTCCCTAAAAACTGCCTGTAGGACCTTAGCCCTCTTTCTACTGAGAATCTTTAAAATATTCTGATGGGAAAGGGCAAACAGCCTGAAGCCATAGATCATATTGGCTGATCACCCTTCCCCCTTTCGAGCATTCTGCAGATATTCAGAGGCATTCTGGATCTCAGCACTGGAGAGGCAACATCTCATCCTGGAATCAGATCTGCAGCCACAGAACTGTAGTTACCCTAACTACAGAAATTCCTACATCACTATAGCTTTACTAATCTTCCATCTCACCACAATGCACAGCTGAGTCACTTGTGCTGTCAACTTGGCTTTGGCTGCACTGGACAGAGGAAGCATCACCCTCATCACTGTTTAGAAAAGGAGATGTGTTCAGGGCTCTTCCTTGATGATCTAGTGATCAACCATTCTCTTTTGCTCAAACTTAAGCTG